CGTTGACGCGCTGCGTTGCTATGAGAAGCAGTGCGCGAAGAGTGGTCATCTTCGAGGTCGGGGTGAAGGTCTGAAAGAACTCAATACCCTCGCGCTGACTGAAGCCTCTAGCAACGTAGCACGCCTTGAACACCGCCGACCCTCGACGAAGGGCGTGCATGGAGGCGCGGTCGAGGGAGGGAGGGCAGGAAGCAATGTAGGGAGACCTAAGACAAGATCGTGCTATGACATGTGACGCAGACGCGGGAGAGCGGGGTGACCTAGGCGGTGGTGCCACAACATGGACGTGTGAGTGAGCGACCGACACGAGCAAGCCGCAACGACCTGAGTAGGTGTGGCCACCTGGGGGGACGCTCCCACCGGCGGGGACGTGGTGTCGAGCGTGAACAAACCACACACCAAGTCCATAGGGAACATGGTGAGGGGGGCACCAATGGCGGCCTCAGTACAGACTACGTAGCGCTCTGTCCAAGGAACGTAGTGGTGACAGCGAGGTCCTGAAGACAGCCGAAACCAACTAGGTTCCTGGAGAACGAGGGGATGTGCAAGCCTGTGAGGGAGCCCGAGTGAACCGACGGACACGGAAGGGTGGTGGAGCTACGTGCAACTACCGAAGTTGAGGAGGGGTCAACAAGTGCTATAGCAGCAGGGGCGGCAAGCGGCGCGAGCGTAATGTGGTCGCGAAAGGAACATGCAGACGCACCAGAGACGAGCGTGAAGGAGAGCGTGGCGGTAGCGGCAGGCGGCTGGGGCGTTAACGTGGAGGCTAGGCTAAACAAAGAAGGGGATCCTATGCTTAACACAGCATGGGAGCCTAGACGATACATAGTGGACACACCTACGCCACGTGACGCCGAGCGGCGCGTGCCGTCACCGCGACCACCTCCAACAAAAACGCCAGGCCACTACGGCGGCGGAGGTCTCCACGGCTGCTGCTGCTGCTGCTGCTGCTGCTGCTACTGCTGCCGCTGCTGCGGCTGCTGCTCCTAATGCTGTGTCGGAGCATCAGCCCTGGTCCCCTCATCTGCACCACCGGCACCCGCGCCACCTCCGCCACTGCCGCCACCCCTCCCTCTACCACGCCCCTCCATTGGGGCGGCGGCCCCTATCCGGACGAGGTTGCACTGAGGCCGCCGCGGCGGCCTCAGCAGATGGGGTTGTCTCAGCGACAGTGGCAGAAACGTCAGAGTAAGTGCACTGGGAGGGGGCACAGCCTTGGATGATAAGGACCGCCACAGTACCGCTAGACTGAGCGATAGCACGCTGGTGGGTCTCTATTATGGGCAGGGTGGCGAGGAACTCGGTAAGGGTGAGGTCAACAGGGTGGAGACCAAGGAAGTGGTCACGGGCAGTGGCTTGGCGGTCGGGAAGGCGTGTTGCAAGAAAGTACAGGGTAGCGCCGAGGGGTGAAGGCAATATAGTAAGCTGGGCCTCGGTGCTAACAGCGTGGTAGCTAGCCTCAAGTGCACGCAGGTGAGTGGCAAGATCAGAGACATTGGGGAAGGACGCAAGATCAGGAAAGAGCAAGGGGAGAAGTACATGGTCAGCAGAGGCGGAGAAAGGAGTGTAATAGTGCACAATGACAGCATCTAAGTAGTCTTGCGTAATCTCTACCGTCTGAAAGCAGAGACGCTCGAACAGATGGAGGGCTCGACTGATAGCAAGCTGAGCAACTGCGTCGTGCGACTCTCGGACAGAGCGGGCGAGCTCAGCATCTGCAAAGGCCTCACGCTCAGCGGGCGTGGGGGCGTCAGGGAGGGCAGCAAGCGGATCGGGGCAGGGGAGCTTACCGTCGACGTGGACGGCCAGGGACTGGCTGTCATGGTGCTAACCCTTCAGCTAGTGGCGGAGGTCAGCGAGCCACGCCTCGAAGTCAACCGCACGACCCTTCGCGTCCGGGTGGAGAAGAGCGTCTGCCATCACCCTGGCCGTTGCGGTTGACGGCGACACGGCGACATGGCGACACGATGGCACTGCAGCGCTGTGGCATGCCGGCACGGGGATACAACGGCCCAGCAGTACGGCGGCACGGTGGCATGGTAGCATGGCGGCACAGCAATCTGGGGCAGCAGGAACAGGGGCCGGAGCCGTCACGAACTTGGGCCGGCGAGCTGGGGCGAGCAAGCTAGGGGCCGGCGAGCGAGGGGCCGGCGAGCTAGGGGAAGGCAAATGAGGGGCCGGCGAGCTAGGGGCCGACGAGCGAGGAGCCGGGGAGCAAGAGGCCAGCTAGCGAGGGGCCGGCGAGCGCGAAGCCGGTGAGCGCAAGGCTGGCGAATGAGGGGTCGGCTAGCGCGGGGGCCTGTGAGCGCGGGGGCCGGCGAGCGAGGGGCCGGCGAGTGCGGGGCTAGCGAGTGAGGGGGTGGCAAGCACGGGGCCAGCGAGCGTGGGGCCAGCGATCTACAGAGGCAGGGCGGGCAAGGGCGGCTAGGGCGGGCTAGGGCGGCTAGGGCGAGCTAGGGCGGCTAGGGCGGAAGCACGGATGGGCGGACCTAACTGATACCATCTCAGAGTAATCGAATGACTACAATGAAGGCATACAAGGGAATATATGGTTGGGTGTTGTACTCTCTAAGATCATGAACCCTTCTAGCCTATAACTACTACATATACAAATGTGTATAAGTTTACATAATTCTATTGCCGTAAGCATTCGGATATATGAGCCTAGGTTGTAATCTCATACACTAGTGAATTTTGGGGGTGAGTCTTATATGGATACCCAAAAATTATATACCCGGATTATTTCTCGTACGCACGTGGAATACAAATTTCTGCATGTAGTTTTGTTCCTCGTTTACATTCCTGGCTCATTGTCGAGTATTCAGGCCCATTCTAAGCCTTTTAAAGCGAGCGGACAGACCAAAATCAAGACTCAAAACCTTTGAGTCTTGAGTTTGGGTAGCGAAATTGACGAGCGGCCCATCTATCCCCACGAAAGGCGCCTGCCCCACGCGAAACGGTTTGGCCCCTCGCGATGGGAAAACAGACCTCGTCAAAACCTGGGAGGTCGCAGGGCAGATTCCGGACGACAGCACCACTCTGCCCCAACCATACCGTGTTCGCATAACTGCTGCGTTTGTACTACGAATTGACACATACAACAAAAATGCGCAAACGAAAACAACGATAGCCCTGCTTCCCCTTGCTCAAAACCAGGACATAAAAACCTGGTTTGCATTCGGGAACAGGCCTTGAATCTCACTGCCAACCCCACCCGCTGGAGCAGAGCAGCGCACGATTTGGCGAGCCCAGTGCTTGGAACGCAAAGCAACGCTACATTTTAGGTATAGAGCGCGGGCGCAAATCCCTCCCTATGACTTCCCCAAGCTAGGACATTTGAAAAAAAAAGGGGGGTCTGAAAAGAGGGGCCCGTCGTGACTGAAGACTGAAGTACAACGGCGATCGACCCGCAGGTGCGGTGGGAGATTTGCGAGGAACGCGGGTCTGGCTGAATGGTGGCAAGGAAGAGAGATAGGGTTGGGCGGCAAAGCGGAACCGTGCAGTAGAGGGGATTCGGCACCACAAAATAGGGAAGAGAGAGAGTGAGGCAAGAGAAACAATGAGAAATGCGCAGGGATACGGCGAGGGAGAAGGGCATATTGCGGTAGAGCAAGAACAGCGCTTATTTTCGGCCCAAACGCCAGGGACACGGCGAGGGAGAAGGGCATATTGCGGTAGAGCGAGAACAGCTATCTCCCCTCTCAACTATCTCCCCAATCAGCTATCTCCCCTCTTTCTCCCCTCTCAGCTATCTCCCCTCTCAGCTATCTCACCTCTCAGCTATCTCACCTCTCAGCTATCTCCCCCCTCAGCTATCTCACCTCTCAGCTATCTCACCTCTCAGCTATCTCCCCTCTCAGCTATCTCACCTCTCAGCTATCTCCCCAATCAGCTAGCTCCCCTCTTTCTCCCCTCTCAGCTATCTTCCCTCTCAGCTATCTCCCCTCTCAGCTATCTCACCTCTCAGCTATCTCCCCTCTCAGCTATCTCACCTCTCAGCTATCTCACCTCTCAGCTATCTCCCCAATCAGCTAGCTCCCCTCTTTCTCCCCTCTCAGCTATCTCCCCTCTCAGCTATCTCCCCTCTCAGCTATCTCACCTCTCAGCTATCTCCCCTCTCAGCTATCTCACCTCTCAGCTATCTCCCCAATCAGCTATCTCCCCTCTTTCTCCCCTCTCAGCTATCTCACCTCTCAGCTATCTCATCTCTCAGCTATCTCACCTCTCAGCTATCTCCCCTCTCAGCTATCTCCCCTCTCAGCTATCTGAGAGGATTGGGAGAGCAGGGGATGGAAACGAACTGGGAAAGGGGGGGGGGGGAGCGGTGAGTTGGTTCAAACGAGTGTACCTGTGAGAGATACGGCAGCAAAATGGGGACGCGGATAGACCAATGATGCGGGGTGACAGAGTACGACTACAGCAGAGAGAGGGGGTACATGCAGCAGGCCCTAAGGCCCGTCTTTTACACACAAAGGCGCCACTACACACCAAACACCCCCCTCTGTCCTCCACAAACAGAACCAGTAACTGCCACTGTATGTCATGCCCGTCATGCCCCAATCCTACCCCTTTTAACCCTTTTACCCACCCTTTCCGCCCTCCCCCCCAAGCCAGGCCCCCGCCTCCCCTCCCTCGACAACCATTCAACCCGCGCTCCAGTACCCTCCCCCCCCCGTCCCCCACTTCGACCTCCTTGCCACTCACCACGAGATGCCTCCCTTCTCTCCCCTGCCCTCACACCACTGTACCCCAACCCCCACAGCCCCGAGCCCACCGCCCCCATCCAAAGTGCACCACCCTCGCGTTCAGAATCCACCTCCTTCCATCCAGAGTCTACCTCCCCCCATCCAGAGTCCAGCTCCCCCCATTCCGAGTCCACGCTCCCCCCTTCCAGAGTCCACCTCCCCCCATCCAGAGTCCAGCTCCCCCCATTCAAAGTCCACGCTCCCCCCTTCCAGAGTCCACCTCCCCCCATCCAGATTCCAGCTCCCCCCATTCAGAGTCCACCCTCCCCCCATCCAAAGTCCACTTCCTCACCATCCACAATCCACCACCATCCCATCCAGAGTGCACCACCGCCCCATCCATAGTCAAGCCTCCCTGCTCATTTGGCGACACACTCCACCCCTACCTCTCCTTCCCCCCCTCCCATCGTTTGCTGACAGCCAGAAGTGCACGTGCAAAATGGTTAGGCCTGTGGGAGGAGGGACACACCCAGCGCAGCAGGCGGTGTCAGAGGCCCGGCGAGGCACGGTGTCCATGACGTGCCACATGGGTCCTCTCGTCGCGGTGTGGCGTGTGGGTTTGACGGGGAAGTGTAGGCTACAGGACAGGGTCGCCACAGTGGACGATCTGATTTTTTTCCTTGCCCAACATGCCAAGGCCGTAGTGGAGAGCCTTGAGAAGGCTGCGCTAGCTGCAGGTGAGCTTGATAATGATGGGCGGCAGATGTGGGTGGTGTTTCATTGGGATCTTACCAACAGAGATTGTGGGCCCAATCTTGCACACATCCCACGTGTCATATATCTACCAATCTCACAGTCCCCCAAGACGATGCCAAGGCCAGAGCAAAGCTGTTGGAGGGACACAAGAAAGCATACGGGATCATATTCGCGAGCCGTGTGCGAGATGGACCTGCCTCTGCCGCACAACTCCTAGCGCGAACCACTGGGGCTCTCCGTGGGGTCAGATTTGGGTTTCCGCTCTACAAGTGGACAGAGGCCGGAAAGTATAGACTGGCTGAGGGCAATGGATGGGGTGGCGCACGCCAAGGGCAAGCCTACGAAGCACAAAAGGGTAAGGCGTTTTGGATCTTTGGTAGGGGATGCAGTATTGGGATTTGGGAGTCGATGTGCGATGGACGCATGAGACTGCCTCACAGAAGTGAAAAAATAAGTCGTCCTTTGTGCTTATGCTACCCTTGCCCACAGATGGGAGTGCTGCAGAGGGAGCGGAGGGCTCCCCATCTTGTGATGAGCGGCATGGAGCGGGCGACAAAGTAGGCCTTACGGTGACGACAAGCGCACCCCATGCTCAACCGACAGAGGGTAACGCATCGGCAGCTCGCGAGGCGCCGGCGAGGTAAGGAGGCAGGCTAGAGTTAGGCATTCGAAGCGCATGTTCATTACCCATTCTCATAGCAACATGTGCACATACAACGATGCAACGCACTACAATTATGACATCTCTACTTTTGCAAATGCATCATTTCCCCATGCCCACTTTTGTAATGCGACTTGTCGACCCTGCACCAATGTTGTACCTTCAAACTTGCTTTCCCCCGCCACAAGCAACGTCGAGGGGCTTGAAGTCCATCCCCTTCCAGAGCAGAGCGCGCCATGCGCCATTGGGGCTGACCCCCATGCTTGCAGGTGCGAATAGCACCCCATGCTTCCTTATGCCTCGACTCCCCAAACCCACTCTTCCCCCATTGCATTGTGTGCGCGACTTGTCACATGCTCCGTGCACCAATGCCGCACCTTCAAAACCTGCTTTCTCTTCGCCTTGAGCCAGCCTAAGCCTCCCCCCGCTGCCCAAGTCATTGCTGTGCCCAACCTGTTGCCATGTCGATGCACATGTCTAGGCTTATGCCTATGCTGCAGCTGTGCCAGCACTCTGGTCTGATTATGCGCATCCGCCCTGTTCCATCTTTAGGGCACCCGCCATAAGCAACGTCGAGGGGCTTGAGGTCCATCCCCATCCAGAGCAAAGCGCGCCATGCGCCATTGGGGCTGACCCCCATGCTTGCAGGTGCGAATAGCACCCCATGCTTCCTTATACCTCGACTCCCCAAACCCACTCTTCCCCCATTGCATTGTGTGCGTGACTTGTCACATGCTCCGTGCACCAATGCCGCACCTTCAAAACATGCTTTCTCTTCGCCTAGAGCCAGCCTAAGCCTCCCCCCGCTGCCCAAGTCATTGCTGTGCCCAACCTGTTGCCATGTCGATGCACATGTCTAGGCCTATGCCTATGCTGCAGTTGTGCCAGCACTCTGGTCTGATTATGCGCATCCGCCCTGTTCCATCTTTAGGGCACCCGCCATAAGCAACGTCGAGGGGCTTGAGGTCCATCCCCATCCAGAGCAGAGCGCGCCATGCGCCATTGGGGCTGACCCCCATGCTTGCAGGTGCGAATAGCACCCCATGCTTCCTTATACCTCGACTCCCCAAACCCACTCTTCCCCCATTGCATTGTGTGCGCGACTTGTCACATGCTCCGTGCACCAATGCCGCACCTTCAAAACCTGCTTTCTATTCGCCTAGAGCCAGCCTAAGCCTCCCCCCGCTGCCCAAGTCATTGCTGTGCCCAACCTGTTGCCATGTCGATGCACATGTCTAGGCCTATGCCTATGCTGCAGTTGTGCCAGCACTCTGGTCTGATTATGCGCATCCGCCCTGTTCCATCTTTAGGGCACCCGCCATAAGCAACGTCGAGGGGCTTGAGGTCCATCCCCATCCAGAGCAGAGCGCGCCATGCGCCATTGGGGCTGACTCCCATGCTTGCAGGTGCGAATAGCACCCCATGCTTCCTTATGCCTCGACTCCCGAAACCCACTCTTCCCCCATTGCATTGTGTGCACGACGTGTCACATGCTCCGTGTACCAATGCCGCACCTGCAAAACCTGCTTTCTTTTTGTCTAGAGCTAGCCTAAGCCTCCCCCCGCTGCCCAAGTCATTGCTGTGCCCAACCATCATACCAACCTTCCCTTGTTCCCCCTAATCTCAGGCCGCCCTTTCGTGGCCCCAGACTGGCCACCAGACGGACAGTCCCGCCACTGTGGGATCCCGCACCGAGACTGGATGATCTGGATGGGTCAGCGGTGGGCTTGGTGGAGGTCCGGCACATGGTAGGATTTTTCAAGGGAGTTAGGATGGTTTGCATGCAAAACGCGGTGTGCGGTGGGGAAATGGAGTTGCGATCGTGGCGTCGGTCATGGGCATCATGGGGTTTGTATTGGGATTGCATGGAGTGCATTCACACAGTCGAGTTCTGGACATGTACACGTCGGGATATTGTGGACGGGGCACGAGTCAGGGGTACCAACATGCCAGTGCAACAATCCAGGTTCTTAGGTGCGTTTGCACTGGCAGGCATGGGGTACCAACAGATGTGGGAATTCTGTCGGAACGTTAGCTTGCCGTGCCCTGGTAGAGGCACTTTCTACAAGCACTTGTCAGGCGAGAAAGGCCTTTGGGAAACGATTGTGCATGAGGCCGATAAGTCGATGCAGGAAGTGCGGGCAGAGATACTTAGGCGCGACGATGTAGGGGATTATGTGTGCGTAGATGGTCGATGGTCACAGGTCAGGGAGGGCGAGTGGTGCACTGTTTCATTCATGGACGAGAAATCGCGTAAAATACTTTACGTCGTAGTAACACAAAAGAATGTAGATGACCCCTCGTCTCTAGTGTTAGAGCGTATCGCATTTGAAAGGGGAATGGAACAACTAGCAGCGAAGGGGTTTCGGGTGCGTGGTATTATTTCCGATCAAGGAACTACGTTCAGGGGAGCGGCTAGAGATAGGGGGTTGAACCACCAAGTGGATTGGTGGCATGTAAAGCAGTCCCTGTGGAAGTTGTTTCTAAGGGATCTGCAAGATGCGCTACGCGCAGTCATGCCTGTGGGGGAGGCCCGTGTCATTGAGGACCTGTGGGTGTCGAGTGTGGATAGTCTTAGGCAGTGGCTGAGTGCTCATGAGAAGACGAAGGAGTCAAAGGCTGTCCTCAAAGAAACGCTCATACGGCATGTTTGTGCCGAGCTGGGGCGGTTTGAGTTTGTAGCAATTCGGCCAGAGGATGCAAAATACAAGTATCCTGAGCTCAGGAAGGTGCTACGGGTTGGTGGTGACGGCATGGGTGTAGAGGTCCCTATCTCCTATGGCAATATGCTGGATGGTGGCTCTGGCAGTAGGGTGAATGTGGGAGTCGGAGATCGCGTTAACGAGGAGGTGGGAGCTGCGGGTTTTGCTGGACCTGTCACCATGGAGGTGCTGCACTCTGATGTGGATGAGTTGTGGGGTTACGACGGAGATCAGGCCCGCGGGATACGCCCATCATCAGAGGCATCCATGCTGATGGTTCTTGCGCATACGGGGGACGCGCGAGGCGTGCATTTCACAGGAGGGGCACGACCATGGCAAGAGCGACAAGACCTGAGTGGTGAGTTTGCGATGGGCAGCAAGGCGTACGTGGCAGTACGTGATGTATCCCGCATTGTCGTGGCCAAAGACACATACAAACACGCACCCTTTTTTGTGCATCTGCCACCCTCCTCTCGTCATGACACAGGGGAGGTGCCGGTCGCTGCTGACGTTGTGGGTGGCCCTGAGGCCACAAGTACCGCAATGCCGCGAGCTCAACCGGCAAGTGTGCCACTGGAAGTGGTGGATGGCGGTGCTGTACCACGGTGGACAAACCGCTGGAAGCGCCCCAGGGTTCGTGCAGCGACAGGGGATTCGGGAGGTTGCTGTGAGGAGGAGGTCTCGGTGGCGCAACGCTTTGTGATACACTTCTACCACGTCATGATGCGGTGCGGTGTCTGCCGGCGGGACGGAGCACCGAAGTCACCCGAGGCGGTTTCGGAGGAGCTGTGCATGGCAGCCGATCATTGGGCGGGCTTGCATGACCGGTGTGCAAGAGCTGGCGAGGCGCCTCGTTGTGTAACCGAGAATTGGGGCAAGGAGAGTGCCATATACACACCCAGGTCGGCGACCCATGTAGCTGCCACAGAATGGCTTGAGAAGCACTGTGGAGTTGAGCAGGTGAAATATTACGTCCACGGGGCATGCAGCTCATTGAACGAATCCTTCCACTCCCTAATTTGCAAGTACGCGCCGAAGCGACTCCGACTCCGTGGGAGCTTCCGCGCGCGAACGGGGCTGGCAGTATTGCATTGGAACACCTGCCTGGAGCGTTTAGTGAGGGCATACGTGACTCGCAACGTTCGGGTGACGCGGATACGGCGTGGCAAAAATACCCGCACACTTGGCCCAATGGATTGGTCATGGGTCGACCGGATCATGGATGAGTGGCAGCGCGAGGGGTTCATTGGCAGGACAGCCGCCACTAGCGGCTGTGGTGAGGATGACGGCCCACGTACTCGGGTGCGCGTGGAGCCGACAAATACTGCAGTGCGGGTGGACTCTGGGCTGTTGGTGGCAACTCCTCCACGCACTGCGAGGCATGCCTCGCAGCCCCATGTGGGTGGCCGGCGCGCAGGTCGTGGCGTGCGTCGGACTCTCGGTGAGTTTTTCGCCATCATCACTCACATCCTGGTGAATACCTCTTACTGCCCATTATCTGCATGGTGCCCCTACACCCTCCTCCCCCCCCTCCTCCCCCCGCTTCCTCCCCCCTATCCCCGCCCCCCCTCCCCCGTCCCCCTCAATCCACTCAATCAAGCTTCTGACATTCCCCCCATCCACTACAGGTGACGTCACCAATTACCCCCGCGAAGCGCATGGCTCCTCCACCTACCGCGACCTCCACTCTACGCCATCCATTCAGACTGCCTCACCAAACTCCTCACAACGCCACCGCTAGGGGCAGTTCAATTGCTGGTAGGCGTCCTCAGCTCATACAATCCCCGACCCTAGATCGAGGCCCTGTCACTTCCATGCAATCTCCCCGCATACCCCCCCCTTTCGTCTGCTCAATTTTTTGTTTCCGGATTCCCCTTTACTGTCTCTCACCCCCATTCTCCGATGGATCTCTCTCCCTTCCAACACTAATACACGACGATGCTCCCCCCTTCCCCCATCCACACTTTACCCTCAGCCCATCGCACTGCAGTCCCTGCTCTTTCCCCTACCCCATGCTACTCTGCCAACTCATGCCATTGCACTTCAGATGCCACCCTCACCGCTGTGAGGGATGGGCAGAGCAGGGGAGAGAGCGGGGAGCATTGTGGGCTGCCCAGAGGTGGGCAGAGCAAGGGAGAGCTGGGTGGGCAGAGAGAGGGAGAGAGGGATGGGTGCAGCGAGGGAGAGATGGGTGGGCAGAGAAGTGGTGAGAAGGCCAAGCGTGGGATGATGGTCTGTTCTTAAAGAAAGGCAGTGATGGGAGGGGGGGGGGGGGGAGGGAGAGTGGCGGGTGGCAGTGGTGGAGTGGGTCCTCTAGATATTGAGCCGGCATCGGGTGCGGCTCTAGCGGGGGTATGCAGTGCGCAGGTGAGAGGGGTACACACCAATGGGGTATGGCGAGGTGAGCTGCTTGCAATTGAGAGAGGTGCGCAGCGCGTGGGTGAGGGGTGTATGCAGTACGGGTGGTGTGAAAAAGGGTGAGTAAGTGCGTGGGTCAGCGGGGTGTGGAGCGTGGTCAGCGAGGTGTGGCGTGTGTGCAAGATGCATAGGCATGGCGCATATGCACCCAGCCATGTCTGATGGATATTGCGTGGGCAGGTGCTATGTGGAAGTGGCATCTTCACCTCCAAGCCCCTCCTTACTCCACCATTTACCTCCCTCTCCAACCCTTCCCCACTGCAGGAAGTCTCCGGGCACACCTCGCTGCCATGCGTGGAGCCAAGCCCAATACTTGGGCATGAAGCAAAAGTGGAGGCTCCCATAGTGGAAGACTGGGTGGGATAGGTTTGGGGGCGAGGGTAACACGCGTTCCCACTGGCGGCAGCGTCGGTAATCTGGGCGGCGATTGTGGTGCACGCCCGTGGTGCCGTTGGGGTGTTGGCCGGGCGGGGTTGGTGTGGATTATTCTTGTGCATCATAAATATAACCGCACATGTCCCACTAACACGGATGCCTTGTGATGGCCACAATCGCTCACTGGCAAGGGGTACAAAACATTTCAAGGCGTGATACTTATATCCATCGGGGGAGGTTATGCTTCCAATGGTCTCGACAGGGTGATATTTATTAATACAACTAGCCTCTTTACATCATCTAGGGGGCTTTACAAACCCACGGTCTATGGCTCTGAGACCTACCAAGCCAGAATGGGCCGCTTGCGGCTGGTCTTATTGAACCACCAGCTCGAAAGAATGGGTGGGCTTGGGTTGGGTGTTGGGAGCTTGCACACGTGATGCCTTGCCGAGTGGGTCCTGGATGGCCTGCCAGTGAGATGGAGGAGGAGAGGAGGTGGGATGGATGAGGATACGACAGGAAGTGGATGGGGACGCGGGTGCTGATTGGGGGGCGGAGGATCCGTCTCGTTAAATACAGGGAGGAATGGAGTGGCCGGAGCTATTGACACCAAGGGGCAATTCAAGACGACCAACCCCCCTCCCTACCATCCATACCCCTTGCACTTCCCTGCTTCCCCCCCTCCCACTGCCCTGCTTCCCCCCCTTCCACTTCCCTGCTTCCCCCCCTTTCATTGCCCTGCTTCCCCCCCTCCCACTGCCCTGCTTCCCCCCCTTCCACTTCCCTGCTTCCCCCCCTCCCACTGCCTAGCTTCCCCCCCTTCCACTGCCCTGCTTCCCCCCCTTCCACTGCCATGCTTCCCCCCCTTTCATTGCCCTGCTTCCCCCCCTCCCACTGCCCTGCTTCCCCCCTTCCACTTCCCTGCTTCCCCCCCTTCCACTTCCCTGCTTCCCCCCCTCCCATTGCCCTGCTTCCCCCCCTTCCACTTCCCTGCTTCCCCCCCTCCCACTGCCCTGCTTTTCCCCCTTCCACATCCCTGCTTCCTTCCCTCCCACTGCCCTGCTTCCCCCCTTCCACTTCCCTGCTTCCCCCCTTCCACTGCCCTCCTTCCCCCCCTTCCACTGCCCGGCTTCCCCCCCTTCCACTGCCCTGCTTCCCCCCCTTCCACTGCCCTGCTTCCCCCCCTTCCACTGCCTGGCTTCCCCCCCTTCCACTTCCCTGCTTCCCCCCCTCCCACTGCCCTGCTTCCCCCCCTTCCACTTCCCTGCTCCCCCCCTTCCACTGCCCTGCTTCCCCCCCTTCCACAGCCCTGCTTCCCCCCCTTCCACTTCCCTGCTTCCCCCCCTTCCACTGCCCTGCTTCCCCCCTTCCACGGCCCGGCTTCCCCCCCTTCCACTGCCCTGCTTCCCCCCCTTCCACTTCCCTGCTTCCCCCCCTTCCACTGCCCTGCTTCCCCCCCTTCCACTGCCCGGCTTCCCCCCCTTCCACTGCCCTGCTTCCCCCCCTTCCACAGCCCTGCTTCCCCCCTTCCACTGCCCTGCTTCCCCCCCTTCCACTGCCATGCTTCCCCCCCTCCCACTGCCCTGCTTCCCCCCCTTCCACTGCCCGGCTTCCCCCCCTTTCACTGCCCTGCTTCCCCCCCTTCCACAGCCCTGCTTCCCCCCCTCCCACTGCCCTGCTTCCCCCCCTTCCACTTCCCTGCTTCCCCCCCTCCCACTGCCCTGCTTCCCCCCCTTCCACTGCCCTGCTTCCCCCCCTTCCACTGCCCTGCTTCCCCCCCTTCCACTTTCCTGCTTCCCCCCCTTCCACTGCCCCGCTTTTTCCCGTCTTCCACTGCCTGGCTTCCCCCCCTTCCACTGCCCTGCTTCCCCCCCTTCCAATGCCATGCTTTTCCCCCTTTCATTGCCCTGCTTCCCCCCCTTCCACTTCCCTGCTTCCCCCCCTTCCACTGCCCTGCTTCCCCCCCTTCCACTGCCCTGCTTCCCCCCCTTCCACAGCCCTGCTTCCCCCCCTTCCACTTCCCTGCTTCCCCCCCTTCCACTGCCCTGCTTCCCCCCCTTCCACTGCCCGGCTTCCCCCCCTTCCACTGCCCTGCTTCCCCCCCTTCCACTGCCATGCTTCCCCCCCTCCCACTGCCCTGCTTCCCCCCCTTCCACTGCCCGGCTTCCCCCCCTTCCACTGCCCTGCTTCCCCCCCTTCCACAGCCCTGCTTCCCCCCCTTCCACTGCCCTGCTTCCCCCCCTTCCACTGCCCTGCTTCCCCCCCTTCCACTGCCCTGCTTCCCCCCCTTCCACTGCCTGGCTTCCCCCCCTTCCACTTCCCTGCTTCCCCCCCTCCCACTGCCCTGCTTCCCCCCCTTCCACTTCCCTGCTTCCCCCCTTCCACTGCCCTCCTTCCATCACAAAACAACGTCGCCGAAACTCGGCGAAATTTTGGCTGAACTTGTCAAAAGACTAGCTTAGCTAGGAAGCCATAGAATGGCACAAGGTTTAGCTAGGAGCTAGGAGGAGCCATGAGAATGGCGAGAGGTTTTAGGTGCTAGGAAAGTTGAGGAGAGAAAAGAGCGTTGGATTAGAAGAGAGGGGAGTACAAGGAGGGGTTTGTACCCCCTACAGAAAGGTTCAGTAACAACCTACCAAGCCTATATTAAATTATAACATATATAATTTGAACACACCCCCTAGGCTTGGTAGTCACATGCCCACACACACCCACACCCCCTAACCTAGCACCCCCATTCCAGCCACAGTGACAGCGACTCTAGGTCGGTCGACCCACGGTGCGTGAGGCGGCGACGTCGACCGCAGGGGCTGCGGCGGCGACGGCAGCAGCGGCGGCAGTGTCGACAGCGGCGACAGCGGCGGCGGCGGCGGCTTCGACAACAGCGGCAGCGGCGGCGGCACCCGCACCTCTCGGTGACGTGGCCAGGCCCCGCGACGGTGGGACGGCCGGCGGGAGTCAGCCGTCGTCTGCGGAATGGAAGAGGGCACAGGGGAAGGAGGGGGGTGGGGGGGGGGGGGGGCGCCACAGGCTGACATGCGGGCGGCCGGTCTAGCGGCGCCACAAGCGTCACGCGGCCGGCTGCAGCCCGACGACGCCATCATGGAGCGGCGTCGATGCCGCAGCGGGGCGTCGACGTTGCGACGGCAGCACGACGTCGCCGTTACGCCGACCGCGCGCTGTCGCGTAGACGCCGCGGCAGCGTGACGGCGCCGTCACGACGCGACAGCATCTTGACGCGACGGCGGAGCTGCGGCACGACGGCGCGGCCACAGCAGCTAGACGCGGGCGCCATGGACGTCGACGGCGGCGCCGCGGCACGACGACGCGGCCACAGCAGCTTGACGCGGCCGCCATGGCAGCGCGAGATAGAGAGAGAAACGAGCACGCAGCGGAAACGCGAGGAGCAGGCCCATACGGAACGAACTGCTCTGATACCATGTCAAAGACTAGCTTAGCTAGGAAGCCATAGAATGGCACAAGGTTTAGCTAGGAGCTAGGAGGAGCCATGAGAATGGCGAGAGGTTTTAGGTGCTAGGAAAGTTGAGGAGAGAAAAGAGCGTTGGATTAGAAGAGAGGGGAGTACAAGGAGGGGTTTGTACCCCCTACAGAAAGGTTCAGTAACAACCTACCAAGCCTATATTAAATTATAACATATATAATTTGAACAGAACTCAGCCGAGGGGGGCAAATCCCGACGGAAAACAGTACCAATCTTCCGTCCGAATTCGGAATAGTGGGGCGACTGAGGGCCGGTTGAGTCTCGGTAGAACTTCCGACAGAAGTTCGAGTCGCGAAATCCGCCAGTGCTCAACGTGATTTCAGGCGGAAATGTGAGTGACACCATCGAGCGATTTCAGACACTGTAGACAAATGTGACTATTAATTAATTTAAATTTGTACACCGTAATGATATGACACTAACCATGATTATCGTAAACAAAACTTTGTACACGTCATCACAAAAAATAATGACACGTGGATACAGTCTGTCGCAGCTCCAATCGCCACGTGGCCGTGTAAATGGCATCAAATTTCACCATAAATTTGTTACAATTTTGTAAAACCACGTGTACAATACAGGGTTCAGCACAGGGTGACATTTCTTCATATCGTGACGAATCATATTGACAACCGCATGTTACATAACACCGGCACAAAATAGCACTAAAACACGGTGCAAAAACGAGTCACTAAGCTATATTATACCGACACGACACTACTTATTCCCATTCTATGTCTCTGCACTGTGCCGTTCCAACGACTCATCTCTGGAATTAGTCCGATTTCTTGGAATCCCTGCAGCCCTCGGACAGCGAACAGATCGTCAGAAACAGGAAACTAAAATTGACAAAACGGAACCGCAGAAGCGTCACTTACCGGGAATCGTGACTGCACGTGCTGCTGCTGCAACACATGCGCCGATTGTAAAAGCACAACGGAAGGCGAAATCAGGTAAAGCAACGGTAAAACTTGCAAGGAGCTTACGTCCACGAAAGGGTGATGTCGTTAGTTATACCAGCTTCAACGAAACACCTTCATGGGAAACAACAAAACACAAGAATGAAGGAGAGAGAAAACTGGAATAAAAAAAAGATCGGCAAAAAAAACGAAGAACGAAAATCGTTGGCGAGGAGCTTATCTTGTGCGACGCCTGTTAGATGATGGCGAGGAACTGGGTAAACACGATGGCGAGGAACTGGGTAAACACGATGGCGAGGACCGGAGGGGATGGATAGAAACTCAAGGAAATGTGCACCAGATGGGATGGTGTGCTCAAACAGACACGGTAGTAGAGCAAATGAGCACCTAGAGTGAGTTGTGAAGGCGATGAACGGGATGAAGCAAACGTGGTGGGTGGGTGGGTGGGTGGGTGGGAGGGGGTGTGGCTCAGGAGAGGGAAGCCTTCTCTTGCAGATAGGGATAAGGGCGTGTCCAGCGCGTACGTCTACAATTCACTTTATACGGTTCAACATGGTTTTCAGATTTCCAACGTGATGAAGTGCGGAAAACGCTCCTGATATCCTACTGAACCGTGATCCTGCACTGTAAACGTACGCGCTGGACACGCCCTTAGGTTCACAGTACAGTAACGAGTTTGCTGGTTGGTTGGCATGTATTTGTGCCATGCTGTCAGGGCGTGTCCAGCGCGTACGTTTGATTGCGGTTGGGTGAGGTGCCTCACGGGTCAGAAGGTTTGATAACAAATCTAAAACGGTTGGGTAGGGTTCGACCAAAAACGAACGCGCTGGACACGCCCTG